TGAAATCAGGACTATCAGAGTTTTGTAGGCGATTGAAATAGTTATATTGTGTATTGTTGTATTTGTTTGTAACCCAAAGCCTCCCAATGTGAATATTTGATTTCTTTAATTATTATTATTCTATTTGTTTATTTTTTATGTTTGAATTATTGTTCAAATCTTTTCTTACGAAATTTTAATTTTTATTCAATTTTTTTTTCTTTAAAATCTATAAACCAAACTGGCACATTACATCATTTGTTATATAGAGATGATTAGAAATATATTATGCTGCTTCGCTTGATCTTGTATACTTACAAAACTAATCCACCATCAAATTGCATTCTCTCGGACAAATTAAAATCGGTAGACTTTTGCTGGCAGATATGCATTCATAGAAAGCCCACACAAGTATGGAAGTCGAACATATGGAGGAAAAAAAAAGGAAAAAATAAATATGAAAGAGAAAAAAATAAATATTTTTCGCTTTGTTTAAAACTTTAAAGAAAATTTATAGAAAAATAATCAAGAACACAAGGATACAATTACGCTGATATAATAAGACATAGATATACAACAATGAATTATGATAAGGTCAAAAAGAACCCATACCATGTAAATTTACTCGCATAATTACTAACCACTCAACAAGCACGCGTATAATAATCACAAACAATTAAAATACATTAAGCGCTCTTGTCTCATGTTTGCCTCCCGTTTTTGCATAAATTATCTTCAACTCTCAGAACTATCTTTGCCCCGTTATATATATATGTCACAGCAAACTAAATGTTTATGCGGGACAAATTTACCACTAAATTTGTCACTTTGTAATTTGTCAGATAAGATATATATAGCTAACTTAAGTATAATATTAATTATCTATTAAATTAAATCCACATTCTTCACTATATTTTTTCATCTGTCGTGCTAAGGGACAACAATTCTAATTCAATGTTTTGATATCAACTTAAGATACAGAAAGACGTTGTATTATTACTTTTTTTTTTTTTGTGGATCGAATTATTATCATTACATACTGTCTATTATTATTAACTTAGATGACAATCCCTCAAACACTTATGAATAAAATAATAACAACACAAATTCAACTGATTTTAAGTTGGTATTAGAGTTGGTATCCTGTATCATTATTATTTTTATTTTACTTTCCTCACTAGACATGCAAATCAAGTAGAGAAATACACTGCACGAATGGCGGCTTGTACTCGGTCGGCAGTTTTAGGTCCAAACAACCTAAGCAAGCTCGAAGCCAAATCCGCCTCAATGGTGTTCGTCTTCACAACCTCATCCATCTTTCGAAGATAATCTCTCTCGGTCTGCGACACCTCTCTCTTCACACAAGCACATTGATCCATCCAAATCCTAAGCGCTTCCTTTGCAACGGGATGAACATGTTCTCTTATGATCTCCTCCATTCGCTCGGCCGCCTCAGCTTCGATTCTGACCATGATTGTTGTCGGAGAAAGAAGGGATCGGACGTAGAGGGACGGAGAGAAGTAGGGCCTAACCTCGTGGATTTTGTCGAGCAACTGCCTTTGAGTTTCCAACTCGGTGTCTTGGTA